ACTCGGGAAGGGAGTTTGACAGAGTATTACTCAAAGTACACAATAAAAGTACTTCATTGTATTTGGGGTAGTAGTCTAACAAGTACTGAGTCCAACTGAACCAATTTTATTAAGAAGTTATTGCTAAAAATATTTTTATCTCATCAAATATCAGGAGGGGACTTTGAGAGAGTATTACCCAAAAAGTACACAGTAAAAACTTCATTTTATTGTGCAGTCAAACTAGGGCTGAGTCAAACAGTGTCAGTTGTATTAAGAACTTATGGTACAAATGACTTGTATTGCAAATAAAGCAGAAAAAAACATGCATTATTTTACTCTTGTACAGCGATTACCGTAAAGGCGCTATTCATTGCGCACTCAAAAATGAATAGCTGCTGATTTGACCAAGCGAACGCGAGAGACGGCTGAGTTTACCGCAGTTATGCAACAGCAACCGAAGCTAAACTGACTATCTTGACTACTTGTTGCTATCCTATTGTGGCATAAGCCGTTTTCTACAGGCACATTTTACCTTTTCATTATGATTCTACTTGTGATAGTCCGACAGCACAACCTGTGCAGCCCATGCATTGATTCCATCTGATTGCTGCTATAATACAAAACAACACTTCTGCCTGCTCTTCACAATGATCAATAACAGCGAACGGATGGTCAAAGTAAGGTACAAATAAACTGAATCACACTAAGCCTGTTTAGTGTTGCCTGACTTTATGAAGTGTGTTTTTTTTATAAGTGTGTGGTGGCATTCTAGTCACTTTGCTCAGCACTACTGCTTGTTAAAACTTTTATTTGTAAAATAAACTGTTGTTGCTCAGGTTGATCCCGCCCCTGCCCCCGCCTCTGACGTAAGCGTGACGTATGCGGTTCTTGCTTTAGACCGACAATTTTTTGGTGCTTGATAAGAACCGGTTTTCGGGGGAAAGAGCCGGCTCCGCTGCGGTGTGAACAGGAAAACCGGTGCTTATAAGGCTCTAGCTCCGAGCCGGCCCTGGAACCGCGTTGGTGTGAAAGGGGCATTACTGCAGCTCTAGTTCAGTCGGTCCTTGGTGTGTTTGTTTTGGTTTGTTTAGTCTCTGGTGCAGAACAAACAACCAGACAGAGGACGTCTGTGAGGGAGGGGCTCAGTCCACTTTAACACAGGACTGGAGCAGTTTGTTTCGGGGGAGAAACCAAAGAACACCAGGATAGCTCTGATATTGAATGTGTGATTTTAGCATTAATCCAAAGTCTACTATTAAATTAAAAGGAAAACTGTCAAGAAAGAGATCTTCTGACCCGATGTGTGGCTTATAATTGATCCAAATCCTTTTGCAACCATGTGCATTGTGACTTTCTGTGATGCATTCAAGGAACTTTGCGTGGATTTAGAGGATTTAACCCCATCAACTGTGTCAAAACTATTTTAAAGTTAAAGCTGCATGCATTTAATCTGAAACTGAGTCTTCTTTCATGTGACTACTGGCTAATTGATTAAAGTGTTTCAGATCCAATGAATATTAACTCGCATTACATTTAAAAAAACAAGTCCTCAAAACTAAAACTGTGAATTTCTCACCTTTTTTTCAAAAATGACATCCCTTTGTTTTGGTTTTTGTCTGTCTGAAACATGGCAGTGTTGCTTCACAATGTGCTTCCCACCCAGTCATTTCCTTTCTACGTTGGAAAATCCAACCTACACAGTTTGACGTCACTGGACACTCTGCTCACTCCCATCCCTCAACACTGACAAGCCTCAGTTTGTTTTGGGTATGTCCAAAAGAATTATTGTATACATTTGATAAAGCATAAAACACTTAAGAATCTTAAATCTAGAAAAGACTGTTGAAGTCCACCTCAAAACAAGCAGTGGATGAAGCCAGGAGCTCAGTTCAGCTGTGGAAACACACAGATTCAGACTTTAGAGGGAAATTAGTGTCGGAATTAATTTAAATAGGACGATGAGTCACAGTGCAAACAAATCCCACAAAAAGACCCAAATCAGCAACCAGATAGCTTAAAAAGAACTGTACTTAAATGCTTAAAGGTCCCCTATTATACTGTTGTTCATCAATATAGTTCTCGGATATATACAAAACAAGTCTCTGAAGTGTTTGGCTGAAATACCAAACAGATCATGCATTGTAGCATCCAATAAACCCCTCTGTTTAATGGTTACACAAGCCAATAAAATCGTTATGACATCATAAAGTGGCCAAAATCTGATCAGCTCATTTTCAGACAGGTTTTTATAGAAATGGATCAGGACAAAAAGAGAGAGAATCTTTGTTCCTGAAACTTTCATAGTCTCTTTACACAGAGGGGACACATGTTTATGTATAAAAGACATGAACAAGTGGATTTTGCATAACAGGTGACCTTTAAACATTTCCCTTGAAGGGCAAAACTGAAACTTAATGCAGGGCCAGGGGCCAAAAGCAGCACGTGTTGTATTTGATTGTATTGTAAAGATGTGAAATTGTAAATGACGCCTTTTGACCATCAGTCACTGGCTCTCCATTTTTTATAAACTCACTTGCGCCAAACTGGCTTCCTGTGTCATTCTGAAATAAATAGAGATCCTGCATACCTAAATAAGCATTTACCTCTTATACCTATATATTATCATTATTTTATATTTTTTCTCTAAAAGAAATATTTGGCGGGCCAAATCAAACCTAATGGAGGGCCCCACACTGGGCAGACCTCCATTAACAAGACTACAGGACATGAAAACAAAACAAAAAGGGATTATGGGTAGAAAGGATGGCTGCAGCCAGTCAGGCTTGGTTACTTAGGACGGGCTTGAACACCACAGAAGAAGAACAGTCATGCTGAGGTAAGGTTAAGAAGATTTGAATCAGATTCAAGTGTGACGTTGTTGAACACAAGCACGAATTTGCAACAGTGGCTAAAAAACGCCACGATGATTTTCTACCGCAGCTGTGAATAAATGAATGAACGCACCTCTGTCCTGAAATAACCTTGAAAGGACTGTGTTGTGTTTAAAACGCTTCATAATACCAAGCTTCATCAGTGCTGTGTGGAGCAAATCACTCCGTTTAATGTTTCTTTGCAGATAGAGTATTTTCCGAAAAATACTTTTTGAAAGTGAAATGGGAAAGTCAAACTTCTTAAAAAAAGACTAAATACAGTATCAAAGTCATAATTGTAAAGCTGAGCAGACATTCAATACTGTCATTACACAACAGTTTGATATTTAAACACTCTAACATGTAAGCAGCAGAGAGGGAAAAACAGCTCTGTTGGTAATTTATCTCACTCTGTGGGTAGGAAACTGCGGGTACAAAAAAATCCTTACAAGCATTCTGCGTGTCAAGCAGC